ATAGTCTATAGTATATAAATATATACATAATATATATATTATATACATATATATATGGTATGTATGTATGTATATATGATATACTATAAATTATAAATATATATTATATACTAAGTTAAATATTACTCATACACACTCTATCTCATTTTATTTGAGTAAATTATATCATATATATTTATATATGTAAATAGATGTACTGTATTAAATGTCACATTGTGTTCTAAGTAACATCAAAACATATGTTGATTATTATAATTATGATTTATAATTACTGGTTTATATTTGGAAGCGTTCAAGTATATAATTATGCTGATATTAAATTAATATATATAATTCATCTATTCCTTTACTATATAAAATCACCTAGTTTATCAGATAAAGTATAATGAAACGTTTAGTAATAGATTATGATAATAATAAAAACTTTTTTGGAATATAATACTATGCGAAAAATGACTTGAGTCAATAAAAAATTTTTGTTTTTCTTTTCAAGGTATGATCGTATACGTTTGACACTATGGATCGGTTTTCACCTGGTATTCACAGCACGTAAGAGCCACACAACCAAGCCACACGCAGACAGGTTGATACTAATAATTTATCATGATGATTATATATATATTATATATATAATAGATATTATATGATATATATATATATATATATATTAATATATTAATATATATATATTGTTAGTTGGTGGGTGTGGTGGTGTGGTGTTATTGTGGTTGTAATTAATATATTATATATATTATGTATAATATAGACACAATACACACAACACACACATACACACACACACACTCACACACATCACACACTAACACTCACTACACACACAACACACACTACACGCGACACGCACTACAGTTATGTATGTATATAATGTGTGTGTGTGTGTGTGTGTGTGTGTGTACTGTAGGAATATGTACTATATATATAGTTCAAATTTTATAATTAAATATTATTATATAATATGATATTATATTAATTAATTTATATTAATAATAATATTAATATATTATATGCATATATTATATATATATGTAGTATGGTGTTAATGTTAATGTGTATATACATATATTAATAGTATATATATATTATATATTGAGTATATATATATATATTATATACATATATATATAATATAATGCATAGCTGTTTATAATACTAATATTAATATTAGTATAACATATATATATTTATTTCGATAATTTATTTATTGATTATAAATATTATATATTTATATAGGTGTCAATATTAATTATATTATGTGAGCATTATAATAGATTAACATACTAGTGACTAAGTTCATTATATCACGACTGGTAATGAATTGCGTATTTGTCGGTGTGTCACCCTTGTGTGGTGGGATCGGCGGTGCATGCTGGGTCTGGGTGTGGGTTGTATGTGCGGGATATGTTTGCGCAGGAGTGAGGAATACTGACATTTATGACCCTTCTTGTGCAAAATGTCATTTCACGGAATAACGCATATATCGGTACTATCTATTCGGACTACGTTGCATCGGTCCTGCCATGTGTCTTGAGAGCTATTCACTCAATCTATCGTGTATATAGTATTAAATAGCATTTAACAGCTGCATATTCGAATTAGAAGAAAGTCTAAGTCCTGGAAAATTAAGATTTCCTTGAGCAAATACCGCCTAATGTAGGACCAATAAACATATTGTAAAGCCACAGAGAGACCCGAGTTATAGCGAACCGAGTGGCATCTTTGTAGTTTCGAGTTTCGAGATGATTGCTAGACAAACTCTTGAATGTGACACCCTTGCACAATCGGCGGGCGCAAATAGCAATTAACGTAAGAAAAAGCAAACAGAGCTATTTCACTTAATCACGATGGCATTGGGGGGAAACGCTGTCCAATAAATTCTTAACCTCCCGTAATAGCACGGTCCGTTGGTTACACTTATTTTACCACTATTACGGGGGCTACATTTAAAGGGTTTCATTTTTGACGTTTCATTTAATTGAAGAGCAAGCGGGGTTCCTTAATACTGTTTTTCCTGTTAGTGTCCGGGGAGGTATCTGGCGGGAGGGGTCGGGGGGGGGACGGCAAGCATAAATTGGAGGATGCTAGGGGGAGCGGAGATATAGCGGGGGGTTGAGGGGGGTTTGGGAGGGGAGGGGTTAATCAAAAGAATCGTTTTAATTATCGCCTGCGGTATTTTGTCAAACGCAGCGCCCAGCTGGTGATAAAAGCTTTATTGACACGGGAAATGTGCTTTATACATACGGATAGGGCTGTCGCCGCTGTGTGTGTCAATATATTTATAATTACGATCCTAAAATCATAATATTGAAAAATAATGTAAATGACCAACGTTATCGTTCACCTAAGTTTTAATTACATCATTCTAATCAATAACCGCATGCAATCGTAGGAAACAGGGGAGCATACATCGAGGTCATAACTTAGATCTTATTAGATAATACATGGGCGCCAATATAATATATGATATCATATTTACAATAAG